GAGACACAGAACTACTCCTACTATTCGACCAAATCTTCGACACAACACGAGGACTACTTCTACGGCTCGTACTACGAGGGCATGGATGACATGCCTAGAGGTGGCGGTGACTACTATTCCCGGCCATTGAGTCCGTTGTATGAGACGGAGTGGAAGTATAGGTCGAGGAGTCGGTCGCCAATCGATTACCGGAGAAGCGATAGGAGTGGTGACGACAGACGGGATGAGAGGCAGAGATCTCTGTCGCCCGAGAACTGGAGGAACGATAGGAGCGATAGGTGTGACCGACGGGACGACAGATACAGATCGCTGTCGCCCGAGAACTGGAGGAATGATAGGCGCGACGACAGACACCGATCCCTATCACCGCCACACGACTCCCGGAGCCGCCGCAGCACCCGAAGTGTGACACCGTTTTATAAGGACAGCTATAAGTATAAGACAAAAAAGCCGGACACCCGGCGCTCGCTATCGCCCACGGGTGGGGACAGGCGTGTGAGGAGGAGTCGCTCAGATCGGTGCCAATCCATGGAACCGATAGATAAGCAACAGTTGTACGAAATCGCGAGAAATAATTTGATAAAAATGATAGAATCGGGAGATTTGCCGAAAGGGACGGACGTTAATAAACTGCGGTTACGACACCTCCGGGAGCTGACGACCCAGAAGTCGGTACAGCAGTGGACGGAGTTCTGTAGAGCCATATCGGCGCTCGAGGAGGCCGTCAGCTCCGACTCGGACCTCGACTCGGACTACGACTCGGACGCCGGGACGACACCGGCGCCGGTAGCCGAGGGCAGCATCTTCTCGATCAGACACCCGTTTAAACTCAAGGAGCGGAAAGACATCCAAATACACGTCCGGAACTTCAATCAACTGCCGAGTCGTACGGCTAAGGAAATGGCGCTCGAGTTGAGGGAACAGTTCCCGGTGTCCAGTGGTAACCAACACCGGCGTAAGGAACTGGAGTGGCATGAAGTGCCCGATTCCGAGGCTATGCCGCCGCCGCCCCCACCCCCTCTCCCTAAGCCCAAGAAAAGTGAGCCCAAAGCGAGTACATCGACAGCACCGGTAGGGATACCGGGGGCTGATATCGCCGATGATATACAGAAGGCGTTCACATTCATACAGACAACGAGAACCGATGCCAATGTGTCGGTGCCGGCGACCCCTTCCTCCTCAGCGACGGTTCAATCGGCGGCCGACTCGACGACCACTGAGACGAGTGGTGAAAGTGAGGCGAAAATAACTAGCGATTCGGTGTTCCCGCAGTCGGCGATGCCGATAGACATCGGCTCAGTGATGGCCCAGAGGTTGAACGCGATGCGCAAACTCGAGGCCGACCCCCACAACGTCGTGGCGCTCAAGCAAATGTACCAGGCTAACCAAATGGTAAGTGTGTGCGCGTGTGTTATCACGTGTTTATTGAGGTTATAATCGTTAAGACATTAAGACATACTAATGGTATCTGATTTGTGGGAACAGATGACAGAGTGGGCGGAGTCTAAGATAGTCCCGGGACAGTTCATCGGCAGTACCGGCGCTAATGTGCTGACACCGGAACAGCTGAACGGCGCCTGTAATGCGTGGACACGAAAGGTATGCATTCCTCCAGAGAGATCAATGACATGGATGTCTTAATAAAACTCTTGTTTCGGACCATAGGATCAGCTCAAGACTGCGGCGCCCATCACGGGAGGGGTCGGTATGCATCTACTGATGCGTATGGGTTGGTGTCCGGGCCAGGGGTTGGGTAAGAATAATGAGGGGCCGGTCGACCC